TAACCTCGGTTCCCTGAGATACGGGAACAAGTACTGCGTTGCTAGCCATGCTATGTAGCTGCATGACTCAGTCAAAGTAATCGCTTCAGTCAAAGTAAACCTGAGAATCCTGTGGCGAGCGACCGCTTATATAGCCAGATGCCCCGCCCATTCTGGCGGGCTTTGGCAGGCTTCGTCACCATAGGCTCGTGCAGCTCCGCTGCCACGCCATTGGTTCATTTTTAAAGCCCTGCACGAACCAATGGCCGTGCCGTTTCACTGCGTGAATGAAATAGGCTTCAGTTCAGGAGAAAAAAGGCTTTTTCCCATATGCGTCTTAAGCAAGACGCAGTACTCGTTCCCGTATCTCAGGGAACCGAGGTTACGTCAGTAACCGAGTACGTTTTCTTTCCTGTGTTGTTGTAGTTTCAACTGAAACAGGTTTGGGCAGGACATACAGTATACAGTGGTGTGAAAAAAGTGTCCTGATTTCTTATTTTTTTGCATGTTTGTCACACTTTAATGTTTCAGATCATCAAACTAATTTAAATATTAGTCAAAGATAACACAAGTAAACACAACATGCAGTTTTTAAATGAAGGTTTTTATTATTAAGGGAAAACCAAATCCAAAACTACATGGCATGAGAGCCATTATTCAAGCAGTTGGTTATAGTATGTATATAGTATATATAGTATATGCGATTTATACACTACTACAGTATTACAGTATTTTATTATGAATCCATTTTTTTTAGTTAACTTTAATAATTGAAGTTTATTTTTTAGTTAACACTACATTCAAGTTTATTTTTTAGCAAACACTACGTGCTATTGTCATTTTTCTATTTAGCTTTAAATATAGTTTTATTTCAGTTTTAGCTTTAGTAATTTTAGTACTTCAACTTATTTCATTTAGTTGTCAATATAACATTTCTAACTTTCATTTAGGAAACAGTGCATATGAGGTTTTTTATGTAAATGTATATGCTATTTTTTATTTATTTTGATTTTTTTTTAGAGAAGATACAGATGTTGACAGTATTGATGACCTCAAAGATAACAGACATTAAAAAAAAAGATTATTTGGATTTCATGGAGTCATATTTTTTCCCCTTGATGCCTATTTACATATGACCAGCTAGTTAGTAATTTAATGAAATGCTTGCACCAAAAACAGTCATTAATAATATTTATTTATTTATTGTTTGTTTGTGCCTTTAGGTTGCTTAAATTCAGTTTAGTTTCTGTAAATGCCCTTTTGGGACTAAGAAGGAAGTTCTGTAAACTACAGTATATTTTCATAATACATTGGACTTATTTTTTTATTGTAAATTATCAAGGAAAATTGGCTTCCTCCTGATATGACCCTTTTAAGATATCACACCCTGTGTTTTCCCTGGCCAGTCCACAAAGATGAGTTCATTCAGGCTCTGCTCATCTATCATTGCTGCATGGCTTTACAGGACAACACTCGGCATTAAGCAGTTAGACAGTCGGAATAGCGGTATCCTATAGGGACTATTTGTGCATCAGCAGGTGTAAACTTTACGTGCGTCCCACTCCTGTTTACAGGGCAAACGTCTCCCCAGTGAGAAACAGTGTAAGCACTCCAGCAGATGCATGTCTTTACTAGGAGCAATGCCTCAGACATGTGATACAGTCATACAAACATAAATCTTCAGATGTTTAGATTTACTCTCTATAGAAAACTGCTCCTTCAAGATACAGGTTGGAATCTAACAAAACACAGATCTATGCCTGATTTGAATAAATCCAAAAGATGACATGATAATCAAAACTGAATGCAAATCAGAGATTTCCATACACAGAATAACAATAAATGTAAAGGTGAAGTGTGCAATTTATGCGTCACCACATGCAACTGGCCATTGACCGATCAAACAGATAGCCCCGCCCCCAAACTCATCCTATTGGTTGAGGCAATGTTGCTATGTTGAGCTGGTCAAGATCAAACAAACACATCAATATTTTCATAGCACCATAAAGACGGGGCAGTCAACCTACAAACAGGTTACTTACAGTTGGAAGCATTTTAACAACAACAAAATAACTCACATCGCTTTTAAACTTCCAACCATTATTTAAAAAACAGTAAAAACAAGAACCACAGGTGTTCCTTACCTTCATTCCTTCATCTCCTTTAATTCCCTAAAGAGAAACACAACAAACAAAGTGATCAATATGCTATGAAATGCAACATGAAAGCTTCTAATAAATCAAAAGGTAATGTTTTTCCTTGGTCTAAAACAACTAATTTACATCTATCACGGCAACATTAAAGTCAGCAGAGTTTCAGTTCACAACATCATTTATCTAAACAACCCATTCAGTCTCCCGTTTAGTGGAGAAATTGTTAAAGCAAATATTTCTGTTCTGTCATATTCAATGCCGTATGGCTTGGCAGCGCTGAGTAAATAACTAAACATCCATGAAGACGACAGACAGTAATTTTTCAGAAATAAAGTCTCATGGGAGGAAGGCAAAGTCAGCCGTTGATTAATTGTGTTGGTAATGTGCCGAATAACGTGTCTCCTCTGATTTTAACCTTTTAATTGTAAATCCATTGACTTGGCCCTTTGCCTCTCTCACAGATGAGCGTAAAGATGTCTCTTTTCCGAGTAAAAATAGTAGGCCAGACAGGAGACAACCTCAGATCACAGGGGAGAACACATTTTAGCCTCCCTCCATAAATCTCCAGTTTTGTGAGCATTCATGAGCGCAGCACCTGTCAATATCCAGAAGGTGGTGCAGTTGTGCAAAATAACTGCTTCTCTGCTTTAGCACAAAGGATTTCACCTGCACTAATATGAGATTGAATGTAAACGTAACAAACACAATGCAACTTCAGTCTCTCATATAGAGGAATTTTCCATAAGCTCACTGTATGACATGCTTACTATCAATCTAGCTTTAGCTATTGACTGGGTGCGTGTGTTGGACCTGAACTACGTGGCTGATGGAAGAAAACTCAAGTTCACAAAGGTAGATTTGGAAGGGAATGGATATGCAGGTTGTTCCAGAGTTCACATGTGTAAAAGCGTAACACAAATCCAAGATTGCGAACAATATAGGTTGTATCAAAGCAAAGCAAATTCAATTCCACATGGAAAAGATTACATGTGGTTTTTGTGCCAACATGTATCCCTCACAAAGTGTCAATCAACACACTTGTAACTGTACATAGGCTAAGCTGTCTGACCCACTGTTCTGTTCTGTTCTGTGCTATTCTGGAAACAAGAGTGGAATGAGGTGGAAAGATTGTTATGTGCAGGAAGCAAAAATAAAAAAGAAGACTAACAGTTCAGTTCAAGTTTGGGGTCAGTTAGTTTTTTATATATATATATATATATATATATATATATATATATATATAAGAAATATTTTTATTCAGAAAGTGTGCATTAAATCAATCAAAAGTGATAGTAAAGGCATTTATAATGTTATTTATTTTTTAAACAAATCTTCTTTTGAACTTTTTATTCATCAAAGAAAAGAAAAAGAAAAAAAGGTATCATTGTTTCCACAGAAATATTGATAAATAATAAAGCAATCAGCATATTAGAATGATTTCTGGAGGATCATGTGACACTAAAGACTGGAGTAATGATTTGCTTTGCCAACACAGGAATACAGTTTCAATTTAAAGATTACATTTTAAAATATATACAAATAAAAACAGTTATTTTAAATTGTAACAGTATTTCACACTATAAGTGTTTTTACCGTATTTTTGATCAAATATATACAGCTTTGGTGCAGATAAGAAACTTCTTTCAAAGGCATTAAAAAACTTACTGTAGCGTATTTTATGCTTTTCATAGCATTACACTAAGCCCCATTTACTATCTTAATTCAATCTTGCATTACCTCAGGGGTAATGCACTCAATGACTTTAGAGTTAAGCACATTGCTCAAGGGGAAGACAGTAAAACCCCAAACAGATACTGTTATCAGCAGCCCCCAATACTTTGAGCAGTTCCACCAGTGCTCCAATGGTATTTAGTCTTGTAACCCAAACAACAAAGGTGCCGCCCCACTGGCTTAATCAAAACTATATGATTTGGGTATCTGATGTCACCTACAGACTGTTTTAGATAACACCCTCTTCTGTTGAAGGCCTGATTAAAGATGGAAGTGAGTATGTAATGCATCTGTGTTTCCTACATCCTTCATAAACTTCACGACTTTGACTGACACAATAACACACAGTAGAAAGCTAGTAATCTCTGAATCTGACTCAAAGGGGGCTGTCAATCTGAAGTTACCCTCTGTGTTATGTAATGAGTTGACCCAGAAGTGATGGCTGACCTGTGGAGCAGGTTAATTATTTAAGCTGTTTAAACCAGTCAAAGGTTACAGATTCCTACCTTGGGGCCTTCAGGTCCACTTGGACCAGCTTCACCACGATCACCCTGAGAGATGAGGACAAAATCGTTTAGAGAAATGGCCATGCAGTAAGAAAAATGGAGTTTGACCCAATCAATTGTGTTCTCTCTAATCCACTAATATTTTATCTGTGCTCTAGCATGACTTTAAAGTGATGTGCCAAGTTTCTTTTTCCACTTTGAAACTCTTCATCTAGCATGGCGATTGATGAGCCTCACATTCAGGGCTCTGCCCTTCAGCTTAGTGGTTTTCAATCACTCTGTTGAATGATTAATTGATATGTCACTCCCTCACAGTTCAGCTTAATTCCTGAAGGTTCCTCTGAGAAGAACGATCCATTTCTAACCATTTTGTTTAAGCAATCAACAGCAGTGCCAAATTTCTAGTCCTAAAATGTGGGATTTGACGAATAGCCTTTCGGATAACACAAAGGTCTGCTCACGTACTATGATAGACACACTCACCTTTTGTCCAGATACACCGGGCTCACCCTATAAAAAAAGCAAAAACAATCAAAGACCTCTTTGGCTTTTATCAAGAAGCCTTTTTATTTGTTTCATATACTCAGAGCTATCCAGTTGTAAAACAGGTAATAAGCAGATCGGTATTCCTTTATTGGGAACTTCGTGTCCAAAGGAAAAAGCCTCTAGTTACAGCTGTTATATAGACTGGCAGGCAATCTTTATAGAGAGCTGAAATGTGCTTCTATAAGGGACTAGTGCTTCTAAATGGAGTACAATTAAAATTCCCCAGTCTAAACTCAGTGGCAATTAACGCATCAGGGGAAATGCTTTCTTATCCAACAGCAACACGGATAATCAATTATGGCATATCCACCCCTTCTGTACTGGCAACGGCAGAGCAGACCCACCCTGTAGGCTGTTGAACTGTGTGTGAACTTCATGTGAGCCTGTTTATGACTCGCCTGTGGAAAATACTATCATTGCAGAGCAGCTGGACAGCTGTGTGCTTTTCAAGCTTACCTTCAGCCCTGGTAGCATCTACAAATGAAAGAAATAGAAACACGCTTTCAGTTTGAAGCTTAAACTGTCATATGGAGCATTACAGACTTCTGATTTCATGTCAAATAATATCAAGAATCTGTGTCAAATACTTTCAGCTTAGAGTTTACATTGTCATATGGAGCATTAACGAGTTCCGAGTTTATTTTACTTAATGTCGAGGCCCCGCATTAGAAAGGTAAAGAAGAAAACGCATGTATTCAAACACTCACTCTTGGGTCTTTTCCAGGTTTTCCAGGTTCTCCGGGTTTACCCTATACCCAAAAATGAGAAGGTAGATAGTTAAAACACACACAAAAAACCAACAACAACAAATGCAAAAGTGCAAATGTTAAAAAGGAATGTGCAGACATAATCACAGATGACACAAAAGGGTAAATAAATACATACATACATTTTATTATGTGAGAAAAAAAGAGGCCACAATATTATGGCCTGAGACGATGGCCTGGGACACTGACTTATACAAATATACAGTATAATGGTTATTATACCAAAAACATTTGACTGCATAATCCCATAAATGAACAATCAGAATGATTTATTCCAGAAAACCATGTAACATATTTGATTAACAACGAGCATGAGTTCTGTAGAAAACATTTCCTGATGCAGATGATTTTCAGTGACTTACCGGGGGCCCACTAGCACCAGTTAGGCCAGGAGTCCCTGGGGGGCCAGGAGGTCCTGGTGGTCCTTGCGCTCCGGGCTCGCCCTGCTGAGAGACAGGAAGTTAGCATCTGAGATAAAGAAGTCATTTGGATATAAGGTACAATTCATAACATCAGAGGCAGGGTCCACTCGGATTCAAATCCAGTAATTTACAATAATTAGATATGATTATGATTATTATACTCAAAATCCTTTATACATTTATATTTAGAAAAATACAAAAAAATATTCATACTGATGAAACAGTGGACTTGAAGCTGAGAGGAACCCAGGCCTGAAGGTTGAGTTGAAAGTCAGGATGAGATGATTGATGTGGTTAATCTAGTTTATAAAGTACCATGTTTGGGAAAAGGGATAGTGAAACCATTTTTTTTAATTAATTTGGGAAAAAGTTTGGAAAAATTACACATTTACACTTAATGCTTTTAAAGCTTCAACTTTGCAAGCCCAATAATATTGCTTGTGGCCTCACAGATCTTCTTCAGTAAGGTCTGCATCAGTGGTTCTCAACTGGGTTTATTTCAAGGCCCAATTTAAATTTGGAAATCAAATGGCGACCCAAAATTGTTTGTTGTACAAAACCAAATTTCGATAGTTTTGTTCTCTTGGGAGCCAACAACAACAAAGTACACTGTGGTCGGCATAAACCATGTTTATCCTCATTGTAAGTGAACTCAAATTCCATGTAGTCTAGGTCATGTTTTTTTGAGGGCGAGTTTGATTAGACGTCCAGCCTTTGACATGAACAACAAAATATACAAGAAGATTTTTCTCCCTTTTAATGGTTAATAAGCCTATTTATTTCGCTATTCTAGATAGTTGCATTTTATTATTTACTTTATGCTTATCCTGCTGACCCACTTTTTTTGATCCACCAGTTGAAAACCACCACTCTACATGATCCACTCATGGCCTGTTTTGGGTACTTCTCAGCAAGAGGAGACCTTCAGCACAGAAGAAGACTAAACAAAATCATCTACAGGAAAGTGTCCGGTATTTACACAGCAAGAGGGACGTGAAAATAGGAAATAAGACTGGACTAAACAATATCCTGCTATTCCTGAGAAGCGACCATAAGGAGAACTGATTATTTAAGATTTCTGCTGTGTAATTAATTTTTTTAAAAGTCTGTTTTCAAAATTAAAGAGGCTTAGTTTGCACTCGGTCTAAGTTAGAATAATTTTCCTTCCATTAACAGCATTCATTTCAAGTCTGCTAGTATAGACAGAAAATTAAGACCTCCTACATGCTGGCAACCATGTACAAGACTGATTAACCACAAATAGCGCAGATACCGTGACAAAGAAAAGCCTTTCTTTAATGCCGTCTCTGTTCAGTAGCAGTCTGAAGCTCAGAGAAATCCGGAACACATCCATCAGATTCAGATCCATATTTTATCAATTTATTTCTTGACAGGACTTGTCTAGATTTGATTTATGAGGCCAGATGTAGATCCATTAAATGGAAATATTCCCTGATCTCCATCCAATGCACACACCCGACCCAACATGAAGACCCAGCCAATCAGCTGCTATAAGTTCTTTCCCTAACACTGTGGTCTTCGACAGTCTATACCATTGTCTCCAAACATGGTACTCTAAATCGGTGCACACAGACTACACACCTGTAGAAATAAGATGGAGGACGGGTGCCAACCGTGGTCAACCACTTTGTGGAGCGGGCAGTAAAGGCAGAGAGCCTTTTAATAAAGAGGCTGAAGTGGAGGGCTGACATCTCCCTTTAGGAAAGACTCAACTTTGCTGCCAAATAAGCTCTCTCATTCTTTTGTTATCTTTCGACTGTCATTGTGTGGATTATAGAATCAGATTTTGAAACTTCTGTTTTTTTTGTTAATATGGCAGGTGTCTTGCTCACTGTTCTTAAGGGATTTGATGAGTAACTGTAGACTGACAAAGGATATAAATGTACATTGTGAGCTTATAAACACCCCATGAAACGGCTTAACGAATGTAGTTTAGTTTTCATTTTAGAGAGCAGCCGACTGGACTACAATAAAGAGAAAACAAAAAGGACATGACGATGAGTGCAAGATTATGTCATCAAGATTTTTGGAACCTGTATATTTGCTGAAAGTTAAACGGTATCACTTTACAACAAGGTTCTATATCAATGCAACATCTAAAATTACATTAAAAATACTTTACTGTATTTATTAATATTGGATAAATATACATATATGAATACCTTTTTAGCATGTTGTATAAACTAACATCAGGGAACACTTTTAATGTGTCCTTGTTACAGGTCAAATGCGTTATAAGTAATAACAATAAATTATGCATAATTACAAGAATCACTAAACCAAACTCTAAATCTACAGTAAGTATATGCAGTTAATTAATATTACTCAGTACTTATTTGTGTAATTACACTGTAAACAGGATGCACTAAGATAACGTGTGTCTGTTAATATAATATGAACAAGCATGAATTGACAATAAACAATAGCAAGCTTATAAATTAATATTAACCTATATTATAGAATGCAGTAAAAACGGAAGTTTATTGTTCATGCATTATCTAACATTAACAAATTGTACTGGTTTGTAAATGTTACTTGTTAATTTAGCCTAAAAGTTAACAGACATGATCTAAAAACTATGATTTCATGGGGTCTTTAAAATATTTCTCACATCCAAAATTTTCTAGTAGTTGTATTTTAAGTGCTTTATTTACAAAATAGTCTCTAAACGTAGTCGATTTCTGGTATGAATCAGATGACAGCTTAAAAATACCTGAACAATCCCCAAATTTGCCCAACATTATAATAGGATTAGACATACAGTATAAGGACAATGCATTATGTATTAGTGAGTTCTTCCTGTGGGGTAGAGTTTATATGCCTATAAATTTTGTGAATTGGACATTATTTTATAAAATAAGTGTATTTCAAGTGGACTATGTCATATCATGACAATGAAACTACTGGCTATGATGTGTGTCTAGAGCTCAGTAGCTGTTAATGGCCTCAGTGAATGCTGGCAGTGGGTGGACGAAGGTTGGCATCCGTAGGGAAGTAGTGCGAGGGTGGCAGAGAGAGATGTACCTTGAGGCGCTTTAGGATTAGAGGGCTTATTGAGGGCATGTTGCGGACGGTGATGGGCAACATCTGCTGAGGTCACAAAGCACAGGTGGGCAACGGTGCACAAAACCACCAGGCCAACAAGTTCACCAGGAGGCCAAAGGGCCAAACGGGCCAGAAAGAGGAGAGGAGGGGAAGGGAAAAAACAGAAAAACAATTGAAAAATAGAGTGAACAGTGAGGAAAAAGCAAGGCAAGGGCACAGAGAAAGAGAGAGATGAAGTAGAAGAAGGGAAAGAGAGAACCAAAAAGGATTCAGCATCACTGAACAGAGTCACGGGTCCATCAGAATGGAGTTCTGTAGGTTTAAAATATTTTCACAAATATGATTACACTGTTTCTTATTAATAGGGCTGGAAATGTCAAGCACTCCTTTACTTTGATTAATTATTTAATTAATCGTAAATTAATATGTAAAATTGGTAAAAGATTGATGTTCAATAATACATAGATAAAATATAAACTGTATTGACTTCCTAATCCCCTTTGTGTAAAGTCTATGGAATGCCATTGAATTTATTCTGATAATCAACTGACAGGCCTATTAAAACATTTACATATGAAACATTATCATTATCAGTGATAATGTTTCTATCTTCATTTCCACTGTGACGGCATCTGTGACTCTGCAGCAATGCTGTGTAGATCAGGCTGGATTCAGTCTTGCCACAAAGAGAGTTTCGCAACAGACTTACTTTGGCCTGTCCTCCAGCACAGGCGTTGACAATACGGCGTTTCTGTTGAGATCAGCAGCATTGTAAAGTACAGATTGAAGAGTTATTGACCCATGTACACCACTAATAATTGATGTTACCTTAAATACAACTTGCCTTCTTGGGAGGTGCCTGTATTTCGTACCTCTATGCAATGGACTGCACATAAAAATGCATTAAAAGGGACTAAAGACTACTGAAAATGCTTCAGTTTTGCATTCTTTCTCATTTGAATTCTAATTCAATCAAATGTTGGTTTAAATTTTTCAAAACCCTAATACATTTAGTTTATTTCTAGGTTTAAATGGGAAAAAAATACCAAATTTTTAACTCTTTCCCTGCCATTGACGAGTTATCTCGTCTTTTACAAGAAAACGCTTCCCCGCCAAAGACGAGTTTTTACGGCTTTTCGTGTTTTCACTGTTATACACTCGGTGGGCACTATTACGCATCTTCTGAACGAGTACAAAACCTCCCGAACAAAAACACACATGAACAGGACGGAGAAATTAGCGATCTCTTATGTAAACAGATGCATATGAAAAATAATGCGATTATCAGCAATAGACAGCATATAAATGAAAACTGCATAATGTTACGGAGTAAAATGTTGATCCAGGAAGTGGTATATGTCTGTACAAGCTTTGGAGGTGTTGATGGAAGCGATTTACTGGATTTATGCTTTGATAATCGTACTGAATATTATCCAGATGTAGTTTTTGATAAAAATGTGATTTTCTCACCTTTTTTGCTCAAAATAATGCATTTTTTTATGAAACCTACCTATATTCAAGTCTTGATAAAAAAATAATGTTTTAAGCTAGAATAAAACTTTTTTGTTTAAAAGTAGAGGCTCTGATCTTTATTTTGGTGTATTCCATATTCAAATATTCATACAGCAAAATATACTGGAGGCCATCAAATTTTTGTGAAAATCATAAAAATCACTGGTGGTGACTGGCAACTTTTTTCAAAAATGCTGGCGGGGAAAGAGTTAATGGGGTTTCAGATTTTTGAACCATGCATGACTACCATTCAAAGGTTTGGGGTTGGTTAGAATGTTTTACTTTTTTTTGTCTCTTACAGTAATATTGTGAAATATTATTACAATGTAAAATAGCTGTTGTCTACTGCAATATATTTTAACATTTAATTTATTCCTGTGATGCAAAACTGAGTTTTCAGCATCATTACTCCAGTCTTTAGTGTCACATGATCCTTCAGAAATCAGTCTAAGATGCTGATTTGCTGCTCAAGAAACATTTCTTATTATTAATAATGTTGACAACAGTTTAGTTTTTTACATTTATTTTCAGGATTCTTTGAAGAATAGAAAGTTCAAAAGAACAGAATATATTTAAAATACAAATCTTTATAACATAATAAATGTCTTTAGTGTCACTTTTGATAAATTTAATACATCCTTAGAAAAAAAATCTCACTGACCCCAAACTCTTGAACAGTAGTGTATATATAACATTCAATAATTCATATACAATATACTGGCTCGCTGAATTTTAGTGTAAGAGGAAAATACAAGCAAATCATGAAGGCAAGTGCTTTTAAAGCTTATCTCCCTGCAGAAGGTTTTTCACCAATTTTACCAGAAAGTTACATTATGTTAAGGTACTCTATGCATAAGGAGGCCAATGAAAATATGAAAAACACATGTTATTTATGTCTTTAAAAACTGGATGCATTTTTGATGCTGTATAAAGTTACAGTTGCATAGTGTACCTTAAAATGATATACCACAACCATAAAAGTTCCCTGAGAAGGCCAAAGAAAAAGCAGCAGAACAGCTGCGTGTTAAGATGTGTCATTATAAATTCCCACAGTGTTTTCAATCAGTTATAATAATAGGCACCTCTCTGCACCTCCAACAGTGCACGTGGATAAACTAGAGCACAGTTTTCAGCTATGTCTCTCTTTGCAGCAGGACTGTAACACACATATCACGGTATTAGGGATGAGGGACGGCGAACAGCCCACAAACCTTCAACATTAGAGCCTGACTGGAGCGCAAAGCTGCCAACGTTTTCATTGGGAGCCCCTGCTTAAAATGGCCCAACATACAAATACACGGACATGGATACGGATACATAAACGCACACACATACACACACACTCAAGTGATAATTCCCATTTTTGTCCCACCACTGCAGGGTGTATCCTTTCAGTCTAGCGTAGTGACCTTTGGGTTTAACCCTAACTGCAAAGAACCTATAGTACACAACCACCCAAAAAGACCACCCTTATGAGCAGCTTTCTAAATAGTCTACTGCCTCCCATGTGGCCTGGCCGACATGCATGAAAAACAGCTCTGTTTTGATGTGATATAGCTGTATGATATACTTCATATACTTACTTATACACAATAAAAACAGTGATTAAAAACTTAGAAACAAGACTATCAGCTTGTGTCCTGCTGCTATTACTGTTCTTTCTTTTTCAAGCTATACACAGATTCAGTAGAAACATCTACTGCCAAGGCTATTTTTCTGCTTTTATATCGCGTGCTGTTTTTGAGATTACATAATTGATAAAATAGCTTCAAAAGGCCAAAATGACTTTTAAATAGGCCAGGGCTGTTACCAAAAACCCCTATCCACCACATAAGAAACTTGGGCGCCTTTTACAGAGAGCCTTATCAAATCCAATTCAGCAGGCTGTTGGTAAAATTGCCTTGTTTACACGAAACTGTGATTTCCCCGAGAGAGAGAGCTGATCAACTTTGAGGCCCTGCCTTGGCATGTGCTCATGTGCTACCTATTTGAGACAACATCCAAGCTGTCAATCTATTGTTCCTGCCTTATTTCCCATTATTTTAATGTCTCTAATTTAACCGCAAACACATTGTAAATGTCTTTTTAAGGGTAAACATGAAAAATCACTTTGACAAATAGAAGAATATCACGGAAACTGGAATGAAAACATATGCTTAGGATTTTCCAGTACTCAACTCCAGACAAGCTATTTGATAGCTTATATTTTAAAACATAAATGAACAGTGTATATGATATCAGATTATCAACTCAATAAGTTCAATAAAACATTCACTCACCCTGTGAGTGTAGTCACCACATACACCCTAGAAAAAAATAATAAAAATCCATCACACAAAGTCCTCTAAGGCCATTTCACAAATCATAAGAAAATTAGCTGCTATTTTATTGCATGATTTTACCTTCTCTCCTTTTGGACCAGGTTCACCCTGAAAAATAAGATTTGAACAAAAATTTAAAGCCCATCCAAAATGTAATTCATGCACAACATTCCACTGCCATGTGAAAACTCCTGAGAAATGATGACTATATAATAATACATATTAAAACGAATGCTTACTGGTACTCCTTTAGGACCACGAGGACCCTGGGAAAATAATCAGAATAACAATATGGATTGTCCATGATTAACTTTTCCTGTTTACAAAACCTCTCAGCCATTACAAGCACAACAATTCCTTATAAATTATTTTCTTATGTTAGAAAAGGAAAAACAAAAAAGAAAACTTTTATTTGAATTTTTAAGTGCTAATGCTGAAGCAAAATTTAGCTTGAGGAAGCTTTAGTAGGTTTCAATTGCTGCTGTGTGCTTGTATGGAGGGCATCAGTGGCCGCTTTTAATAAAACAATGTCCCACAATGCATCGTGCTCTATAAAAACATGTAACTCACAGACTTAGAGCTGACAGACAGATTGATGAAATGCCTTCAGAGGAGCCATAACATTCATCCAGAAATACTAACAAATCGATTTCTGTAATACAACCATATACGAACAAAAGCAAACGTGGAGCATGAAGAATCTGAGAAGAAACTTGTCAATAAAACATGAAAAATCCAGCTTAGGTTGTATTTGGGTAAGCTATGTATTACTTTAAATGTTCAAAAGCTGTTCAAAAGCTCAGCAGGGGCCGTCCAGCTCTGATGCTGTCTTATAAAGGTATCAATTCAAAAAGTGCTTCTCTTTTATAGTTTCTAAGCTTGCCGTTTCTCACGATGCTATAAAAGAAAGAACACAGAGGTTGTGCTATATTTCACAAGGAATGGTTTCAAGCACACAGCCTGGAAGCATAACATCTCTACCCACTGTCTTTCATCACATAAAAGAAAGCTGTGGACTACATTTGTCAAATTGCAGTTTAAGAGGACAGAGCCAACCTAATGTCCTTGTTTTAATACCCCAGGTGGCCAATGTCATACAGATACTGACATAAAGTCACTTTTGACAAACCCCACTGAATGAAACGGGTAAGTGGCCTCTCTTCTCTCTCTCACACACACACACACATACACACACAGATGCACACTGCCGTTTAGTCACTCTACCTATAAATCAAACTATAAGAGTGTTGTTCTTGTGAATTTATATGGCCATGCTTACAGCCTAGATAAACATCACTGTAACAAGCCATCTTAAAAAAAACAAATGGCTCAACTGGTGAGTTTTATAGACACTGACAAATTACTCTTTATGATATGTTTTACTTCTTTACATATTTCTCTTTATGACAGATGGTTTTTATTCCAACAGTATTTCATTAGCGAAAGCAAACATGACAGATCTCATTATGTGTGTTCTTTTAAACTAAAAGTCTTTAGATTTGTATTTTAACACTTCAATTAATTCCAGCCAAGGTTATGTATTTTCTTGAGATCACATTCTTTGGAAATTGTTTTTGCACTGCACCTCTAAAGCCAGTTAACAATGGCTAAAAATGTTAAAATGGTAATGAAATTGCTTACCATATCACCTTTTGGACCATTCTGTCCCTGTGAAGTAAATAAAAAAGGTTTGGCAAAAGAAAAATATCCATTCTCTTTAATCTTTTTAGGTAGTACAATTCACTCCATTCTTTATGTTCTTATATTATGTCATGATGGCAACAATAGTGAATGTATTACAATAATTAGCATAATTATTATTACCATAATTATCCTCTTCATTGCCAAAATGACCGTCAATTATCAATTACTGCCAAATAATTTGGTACAAGGGTTCAGAGGTTCCAAACCTGTGCGAGTGTCAATTACTCAAACATTCGTAAGGAATGAAGCAAAACTCACAGGTTTCCCGTCCAAGCCAATGGGGCCCTGGAAAAAAAGTGGGAGAACAGATTGGCGACACTGTGAAGGCACAAAACAGCTCTAATTCTCCTGTCTAGACTAGTAGCTAATATGACAATGTTTATGGAAAAAATAGATTTCCTTGAAGGTCAGGCCAAAGCATGGTGAAGTATACTGACTCACTAGAAACACTGTATTTTAACACTGTGTACCAAATGTGTCCAGCAGATCAGTGATCATGCAGGGTAATAAACACCTTAAAGGACTTTAACATCCTGTAGAATGCCCATAGAAAGGATCCTAGGACATTTTTAAACCTTACAGGGCCTAATCTCACATTATCCAACTTCTAGAATGACAGCTGCACAAGTCTACTGTATGTTTTTTTCTCACTTCCTTGAGTCATTTCCACATGCATCCATTAAATAAGGGCCACAGAAGCAGTGGCTAATTGATGGCTTTTATAAACTCACACAGAAACGCTACACAAGTTTGTCCAATTGGCTTCAGACAAAAGTCACTTACCGGAAAGCCTGGAAATCCTCTAGTACCGGGCTGTCCCTGAGGGGAGACAGAAAGAAAAAAGAAGAGGAGTTATTTTCTATATGAAAAACATGAGGATTATGTGAACTCGATGAAAGGAGGTCTGTGTTGAGAGATGCAGTATTGTTCCTCCAAACTCAGTTGTGTCGTAATTGAGGTTGAAGGACAGAAGCCTTCCTGCTCAGTAGGAAGCACTTTGTGTGGGATGAGGAGACAAAGACAAATAAAGTTCTAAAAACTGTGGGACACCGACTGAAATTCAACACGGGAACTAACTGAAAAACATTAAAGAGTTGTCCTTATTCAGTACGTGAGAGAAAATGAGACAAGGCTAACAAATTAAATAAGTAAATGTCAGTAATGATTAGTGCTACATTCTCCTGTAAACAATACCAAGTCTGCTTTCCTGAAAAAACTTTAGTAGCCCTTGGGAAAAGAGGAAGTCATTCAATATGCCTGGCAAAAAAGGACTGCGTTGGAGCGACCTGAGAGAAAATTACAAGGAAGAGGTGAACTGAGCTAATGAAGGGGATTGTGTGTCTGGGTCTCAGGTAGTTATTGGAACATGGTTGATTTTCTCTGCCTTGGGAACCTAAAGGTCTGGAGTAATGGAAGTAGCAGCATGTGCCCCCTCAGAATTACCCGAAACAGACTTGACAACATTAATTTTGTTGGCATGAAAGTGTAATAAAAAGTAACAGAAAACAAGACTAGTCTACTCAAAAGAACTCCTCTAAACCAAAAATCCACTATGGCCGCAATACATAACATTCTTCAGGAGTGATACAACATCAATTTCCTGACTGCAGTCTGATCTTGGAAATTAAACCGATATTAAATATCGCTTTTCAGTTGTTTTCAGGACAGACACAATTTTTCAAAGTGTATCTTGAACAAAACATGACACATACAACAAAAGATACTTGACAACCTAAGCCAGGGGTTTTCAAACTGGGGTCCAGGAATGCTAATCGATCCAAAGAAAAAAAATGGATTTAGCAAAATGTATTTTTTAGACCTGTCAAACTACATAGCTTGTTTTTTGCTGTACTTTCAGTTTTAAGATATGAAACCATGTCCCCCGCCTGATCAGCCAGGACAGTAACTGTAGATCTAATGACAACTCAACACATCATCTAATGATCCCTCTTGTCTATTCCCTAACTGCCTCACTTATGTGTGAGAAAGAAACTGGTCATTTCCGTTGGCCTCTCCACACTTCTGCCTCAAATCAACCTCTTTGACCCTTTTGGAGGTGAGGACAAAGCCTATGCTCTCAGCTCATCTGCTGAAGAGATTCCCTTCAATGAAACTTCTCCCTGTCACCAGTTCTCTATGCCTGATGTCCACTCCTGATGCCTTATTAGAGGTAATGGGTCAGAGGTATAGAGAAGTGTATAATCAGGAAGCAGAAAAACAGATGTCTATACAGTCTGAAGGCCCTCCCATAACCGTGTGTAGGGATAAATGGGGAAACCACAGGCTATGCACGGCATAATCAGCAAGGAAATTGCACTTCTGACGGCGCTAACATGCTAACATGGCGCTTTTGTCTTACTGGGTGGAATGAGTGGAAAGGGAAAGAGTGCCAGTTTGGGGACAAGCCCCATTTCGCCTGATGGCTGACCACTCATTAACAGATACAGCGCAATCTGCACGTCTAATGTCTGGATTATAATGACAAGGGCTGGGATGTTTTCATTCCTTCTAGCTATAACATGGCGCTTTTGTCTTACTGGGTGGAATGCGTGGAAAGGGAAAGAGTGCCAGTTTGGGGACAAGCCCCATTTCGCCTGATGGCTGACCACTCATTAACAGATACAGCGCAATCTGCACGTCTAATGTCTGGATTATAATGACAAGGGCTGGGATGTTTTCATTCCTTCTAGCTAATGAAGATGAGATTCCAAATTGGCATCATTACGTGGGAGTCGCAGCCCCGAAATACTCTGATGAAGTGTAAGTGCTTCCATACAAGCTGCTGCGGGATTCCCGTCCTGTTTGTGCATATTAGAGATTGGGTCTTGATTAGCAGAGATTTGTTGGATTTGCTCCACATACAGTAGTGTGCTAGATGACACTGATCCTGCTTATCTATCTTACACCACGCTCATTTTGGGGTGGTCTGTAAGTTAAGTGCGGGAAGAAAAACAATAGAAGAAACCTTTGCCAAGAACCCCTGGAATCATAAAAGGATTGAGGCCAAAAGCTGCTAAAAATCTGCACTATGACCTGTATCTACTCTGGAGACCTGACATTAGAAGGAGATGATGAAAAGTTTTAGCAGTGACAGAGCAAACACTTACAGGAGGTCCTCGTGGGCCAATGATAGACAGACCTGGCTCTCCTGGCGCTCCCTACGGACAGATAGAGAGGTAGAAAGATAGTGAGGAGAGGAACTGACAGAAAAGAGACAGAATGATATCCACTAAACTGCACCTAGTACACAAAGCCAAACGTATAAGTGAATATATTGTATCTGCAGAATAGAAAAACCTTTTCTGAAACCCTGTAGCATCTGTTTAACATAACTATTTTGCTGCCTCAAGCCGCCTCACAGAGAGTGCTTGCATGTGGCTCAGAGGTGAACACGGTATTTCGGTCTGTAAGTAAAACGTCAGCAGACGCTGGTTCTCATTTCAGGGTCGTAGTTTACATCTTGACAGCGAGTTGAGAGGGTCAGGGATCACTGTTGAGCAAACAGCAATCGGCCCAGCGGGCTGGTTATCTGGCGCAAACTAGGTGATTTGCACGGTGTCAGCCTGTCCGCAGCACTGCACCAAACATCCAAGCGCAATCCCGCAACGCTCTGTGGTCAGACAGGAAAGCTCTCGGGTTTCCAGCACTTTCCCTAATTAGCTCTCTCATGTGAAACCCTATCAGGAAGACACCTTTGATGACCCAGCCATCCATCAAATTGTGGACAATTTTTAATTTTTCTGGATCGATGCCCACTTTATCACAGGATAGAGATGTATTTGTTTTAACACTTTTTTTGAATCACCTACAAAGGTTACTGGGGCATGAAAAGGGTGACGTACGAAACTGATTTTCAGGTTGTGGAGAAGGAAAGGAACTTATGCTTTGCCCCCAAGGTTTATGGTTACCCACAGAACTTTGCAGAGGACAACCGAAGATCTAGAAATATCCCTTTGAATAGGCTTACATTACAAGCATTTGGCAGCTAGAAATGGGTACAGGACAAAGAGTCCAAATACAATCAGCCAAAGCAGGAGCAAATTCTGCTGATATTTAAGGATTGGACTTACTAATGAATGATACGATCTTCACAGATTTCATTTCGTTCAGCAAGTAATCCTTTCTGTGTAAAGAATACACAGTCTCAAGTTCTGCAGTTCTTGCAAAGTTCAACCAATCAATCACCAATTCGCCTGATTTTCGGCTTGAGCTTTCCAATGCAACCAATTACGATTCAACTGAATTTATCTGCTCAAGAACTGAAGCGCTAAGGCTGCCAGTTTCTGGGCTCGCGTGCTCATTCATCTTGAGGGGGTTTATTTTGATATCTAATGAAGTGAAGTTCTTCACCCAAAATTTGTTGGGTCAAGACTTGAAGCCCTTGCTGGAAGGTAAAACATGACCACATTTAAAAAGAGGGGATAAAAAGTAAACCCCTGAAACAAGGAGGGAAGCCCACTGATTATTCTGGATGAGAATTTGGTGGGTCTTTCCAAGGTCGCATATTGTCTACTTGTCGGCTCAGTGGTCACATCACTATTTATTTCCTTTCCAAGTTCTTTAGAGCCCCAGTGTTTTGCTGGCAAGTGAGGTTAACCATCCAGAAGTTTCACTACTTTTCTGTGATGGTGAAGGATGAGGAACATGTTTCTCCTCACATTGCTTGTTCGGCCTCAGACATTACATATCATTCCAGCTTGATGAAGGGAGGCCGCAGAACTGCTGGCTTGTGCAAACACTGAGCACAGCTGCCAAAAGGGACTGGTTTAAGAACGGCTCAAACCACATTTGCCACAACAGGAACTGAAGCTCAATGCACTAAATCCAGTATAGTGTGCTCACTCATAGCAAATACAGGCTCAAGGACACATTCAGTGACTACACAACTTTTAAATAGTTTTGGATGCATCTTGACGTGGTAGGGTTTCGTAAGCTGCTCCATTCCAAACATCTCTTTGTCTAGAGTGGGGAGTCTTAAAACTTCAGAGCACTCCAAGAATAAACACAGGTAATCCAAGCATTGTGGGAAACGTCTTCCGAATGTGACCCCCAAGGCCGTTCAAAATAAAGCCCAAAGCCTTCCTGATATAAATCATGATACCTGCGCAATTTGTGCAATAGGTTCGGGTCGTCCCCCCACCCTCATCAACACAGCCACCCACAGTGAGAGAGAGAGTCTCAATTCTGCACATGCAGGCCAACATCCTGCACTTACCTTCTCCCCCAGGTTTCCCTTTAAGCCCTGGTCAGTCACAGCAGACACAGTCACATGCACAGTGAGAAGGAGAGAGACAGAGAGAGGAACCTGGGTTAGCGAGGTTCTGAGAGGACAAGGGCATGCAGCAGCCTGAGACGGAGTGTTTGGAGGTCGGGAGAATGGGACACACTGATGTACTGGAGCATTTTGGGTTGTTGAGGGGTGGAGGCTACAGGGGAACGGAAGCACTGGAGTGTTACACTGCTGGCCTGTGGGGAGTAATGGATAGTAGATGAGGGGGCTGCTAACTTTTCTCACAGACAGACTGGTCAGTGGAGGAGGTTGGAGGGGGGAAGGATAAGGCGTGAAGGAGCACAATGTAGCTTTACACTGGGTGAAATATGGAAAGCTCTGCTTGTGGCTCACAGTTTGAGCTGAACACTGCTGAAACCTGCTTTTAGGTAGGGATTGTTTTTCAAGAGAAAGCATTAGGGTGAGCTTAGAGTATGCAACCATACAAGGGTCAAAAGTCTGGAATTTCTCCTTTGAGAACAATGCAGTTTTATTGGTTTCTTACTGAAAATGTTTAATGAGGAGTAGCTGCTACGCTCCAGGGGGACATCTATATGATTTTGGTCGAACCCGATTTCTTTCGCGACATATCATGCATTGAGCTAATCTGAAAAATGACCAGTTCCAAATGCACAAATCCTATGAATGAGGAGGTAAAACAGAGCTCACAACTGTATGTGGTTTTCCAATCTGTTTCTCTCATTTTGAATATGTACATATTGTCTCTCTGTGGATATATATCCAAAATGTTTCTTCCAAGATCTCCTCGAGGTTTGGCTGCACATTTTGACTTCTCAGCATTTAGAATGTAACTGATAAGCAAAAGGGCTTCTTTGAGGTCTATTTTCTATTTAAAGTTCAACAAGTAAAGTATTTTCACATAACTGAGCAGCCAAGACAAATTGAGTAATAAGGAGAGAGGGTTTCTCATCAAATGCAGCCAGAAAGAACTCTGGTCTTCAGCCCTTGTTCAAATGTGACAGGGGGGCCATGAATTATTTCAGACTTCACAGTCAGACATTTTTTTAACTATCAATGGCGGTGATGAAATAGGAAACATTTTCTGGCTTAATAAATAAGCTATAGTTTTTGGTTTATATTATATAGTTGAGCTGAAAAGCTGAAACACTACAATAAACTTGTGGAAGAAATTCATATGAAAGTTTGTGAATGCTTACATTCACAGTGCAAGCTAAAACAGGTCAAAATGACATAGGAAATGATACTAACCACTGATACTGGATTCTGTATATAAAGAAAACATTACTCTTTATTTCAGTCTGATCTTATATTATCAATGTGACCTTTGGCAATAAATATAAAGGTGTCATATAGTTACAGCTAGAAATGTCCAGTTATAAATGTTGTCAATGGCATGACACTAAGCATTGATGACCAATTATTTAAGACTACAGCCATATACTACAGACTACCTGGTTGGGCTTAGTGCATATCATCAAATCACTCACCATTCTTCCAGGAATGCCCATTGATCCTTTGTCTCCCTAGTGGTGAATGCAAAGTCAAGAAGGAAAATCAGGAACAATAAATCTGATAGACTGAATCTCTACAGTCTAGAGTTATTACCGCTAGTGACTAAGTGACATTCAGCCGCATATTCAGATGGTATGGCTATGAAGAGTTAGTAAAGTTAAGCTGACCAGTGTGATTCTAACTAAATGTCTATATTACTAAGCATTCACCTACTGTACTGTTAAATTGAAAGGTGACAATGCAGACATGCCAAATACTTGCTTGAAGTCAGCTTCTCAAGTATTCGAAGATGAATGTACAGTGGTCAGACAGCAGGCATCACCAGTGGTTACATGATGCCAATGAAAGCATGGGGTTAATGCAGCATATTTTGTATTAGGCCAATTTCATAATCAAGGTTCTTGCATAAGATGATGTTTGCTAGCTGACCATATGACAGATGAAGTGACTGAAAGAGACAGCAGTGTGGAAGCATGACAGTTTGTTTCCTATTGGAAGGGTTTAAAGGAATAGTTCACAAAAAAAATGAATTTCCTGTCATAATTTATTCACCCATATGTCACTTTAAACCCACATAACTCCCTTTCTCCCTCTGAAAACAAAAGGGGAAAGAAATTGAGGATTTTTTTCCGTGCTGCTTTCCATGCAGTTATAATGGAAGCTGAAACCTTCAAACTTGAAAAATGACAGAAACTCACCATACACGTATAATGAACATTGGGATTAACAATGGAATATTCTTCTTTTAAGTTCCATGGAAAGCATTAGAAAGCCTTAAAGTCTTAAAAACAGCAGAATTTTCATATTCGGGTGAACCATCCCTTTAAAAACTATGAATCCCATTCTATCATAATCATAGCTATCCTATCCCTACTTAAAATTAGACCAATTTTTTCAATTAAGGCGAAAATCCGAACATATGGAAATATGTGGGTAGAAACCTGAGATCTTGATACAACAATTGGTCTAAAGGATACACCATTTATTCTCCTGGACCTATGCATTTCCAAACATTTTGCGCTATTTAACACGGCTATAAACTCCTACGACGTTGAAGTGACTTATTATGCAAGGCCGTCCATTCCTACAGCTGTTTTTATTTGCATTCCTAACGTTGCAGGTCAGTGTATAAGAAGGTCTGGGAGCGTTGACAGCTTGCTGACGACTCACTCGAGAAACACGTAATGGAAAAGGGGGGGGGGGGGGGAAAGTCAGAAGTCAACAAAACATTTGCTAAAACAATGAATGTGCTGTACTGAACTGTAGCTTTCCTGGTGCATAGTTGTTTTACTAAGCACTAAAGTTATTAAGATAAAGGTTCCCATATTAGAAGTGTTCATTTAGTTTGACCTTCAGAGTTAATTCACTGCCTGCTGCTGAATGTCCCAAGAGGAAAGTCCCTTGACTGAATTCTCTTGGCTCTGTCCAAGGTGCTGATTTTAGATAACGTAATACTGCTTTATGGCATTAATTAGTTACCACAATATGGCTTATACTGTACACTGTTTAAGAATTATGTTGATATTTAATGATTTTATGCATTATTTTATATATAAAATAAATAGTTTTAAATAATTTATGTAATATCATTGTTATCCTCAAATTAAGTACGATACTCAGTATAAGCCACACATTATAAGTCATACAGTACTGCCAGTATTCAAAGGAGTCATTGTGAAAGAGAATCTTTCTATTATAGAAAGAATGTAAAATCATCTAGAGCTTTAGATTAGAAATAGCTTCAGGAAGTACACTAAAAACTCCAGACTTCTCCAAATGAGCCCTGAAGTACTTAACTAAAAATCAGAAGTGTTAAATAGTCATACATACATGTGAATGAGCAGTAAAGATTAAATATACAAACCACAAGTATCCCTTAATAGTTCAACGGGGCGTGAACGCCAATATCAATATTTTTTGAAGAACTAATCTAATAGACACATTTCGTGTAACATGCTTGCCACCCTTCCCTATCCTAAGAAAATATAACATTTCATTTAATTTCCTGACTATGTAATCAATCAAAAGCTTTGGCAGGGATCACATCCACACTTTGACCAGACCTGTCATCAATTTAAACAAAAAGTATGCAAAAATTATTTTATGGCAAAGTTTCACAAGAATAGCTGTCATGAGTGATGGGGGTTTGTAGGGTATAATTGGCAGGTAGGACTAGAGTTCACATTAGATGGGATTCTTCTAGCATGCCATGATGAAAGACAGATGTGTTTGAGTTTTGGTCAGTAATATTAGAATTATAGGAGAAATTCGGAAGAGTGGATCCAGACAGAGACCAAAGGGCCTGAGAGAATACAATCAAGTATAAAAATACAGTGTGCTAACTTGAAGGAAATAGAGACTCGTCCACTGAGCCTAGCTATAAGACTCGTTACATTAAACCTAGCTTAGCTTATCTGGTTTAGGGGGATGTTCAGTGGGGTCTAAAAGTCTGAGACCACTCATCATCTCATCACTCATCACAAATCATATTGCAAGCATAACTATGGACTGAAACCTGATGACCATGTTCTTTGGATCTAAAGAGCATCTTGAGCTTCAACGGATGCAAGATCATTTGAGTTTACAAGAACAATGTCATAAAAAAAACCTCTGAAACACTTCACCATTTTCATAACTAATCATTACTTTTCTTGTTTCTTTTTTTAAATTTCTAAATTAAATTTTTAATGAAAATTTAGCTCAAATTTAGCTAGAAAATAAAGCTACAAATACTACTGTACATACATTGGTTGTATATCCTCAGTCCTTTGGTTAAAAGGAGGTCTCAGTGTGTCCAAATAAAGAAGCTGTATATATGACATACTGCAAAATACATGATTAAGTATTTTTCATATTGAAGTTTCAGGTTGAATTGTTTGGATACAGCTTCTTAAAGACACTACAAAAGAAAGGCAAATTGCAAGAAAACCAAACAGACGGATGGACAAACAATAGGACACGCTATCAGACAGTTACCGGAAAGCCTGCTCGTCCAGGTGGACCCTGAAAAAGGGGTGAGAGAAATGTGGGTACAGAATAAAGAAAGAACCAGTCAACAATACTGATTAAGAAGAACACAACACCCTGCCAAGCCATAATGAAATTTAGTCTGCTTTTACAATTTCAGTATTGAATAGTGAAAACAATATTCCTGAGGAACTTTGTGATCCAGCATTAAATTTCATTGTGGCAAGGCTCAAAGGTAGCAGCAGGAAAACACTCCAAAGAAGCATTCCACAAACGCAAACACCATCAAATGCTTTCACAACAGAATTTTCTTTGGACCCCAGAAAATCTTTTTTAATATCATGACATGTTTCTTTTATTTAATGGCTTTCAATTTTTCATTGAAAATCATTTTAATGTATATCGTCCCAGTAAAAAATAAACATAAACACCCTTAAAACAAGACACATTTACTCCAGAAGAAATATCGGTAATAAAAACTGTTTTTCAGAAAAAATATCTCAAATTAAGTTAACTTTATAACCCTATTTTTTTCTTGTTTTAAGTATAAATTTAGTGTGGTTTATGCTTAAACGAATAACAAAAAAAACTTAATTATATTAATATTTTACAATAGTCTGGTCATCTTTATTTTGTATTTTTCTCAATACAATCTGTCTTTATTAAGGGTGTTTATATACAAGTTTTTTTTCCCAGTGTGAAAGTCAATTCAGTTCATGTCATTACTAATCATGACTTATATTTCAGTAAGATCATTTTAGTGCATTTAATACTAAGCATTTCGTGCCAGCATGAACACTAAATAGTACCACATGTCTGATTAAAAAAGATGTTCATTAAGAGGCCCACGCATGCATGAAACATATGGTTTCACAAATGAAGGTGCTGGCTGAAAATCCTTATCTCATGCTTGACTTCAGAGTCGATTGTGGAGATCGCTCTGGTTTAAATCAAATCAAATAACAAGTTCACTTCCTTCACAGAGCACCATTCCGCTGTGAAAAAAAAAACTGTGTACATTTTTCATTGCAGAGGATTAGTGGTAAAAACCTGACAGCTGCTTGATCATTCAAAGAAAGATCCTTTCTGTTAAGACTGCCGTGACACTCTTCATTATCTGATGATGCATTTACAGTTCATTTCATGAGCCTGTGGAAGTGCATACTAGTGTTTGTGTGTGTTGGCTTTCCTCTTGGACTACAGTGCGGAGAGGGAAGCAATTTATCAAGCCTCAGCCCAGGGGAGGAAACTATTGCAGACGGACAAAAACATCCATGGCACTCTTCTGTCTGTCTGTTTTGATATGACCATACACCATTCAGACCAAACAAATAAAAAATAAAATTAAATCCAATAAAACAATGAAAAAAATAAATTTGTGTTTTTTCATCAGTGCAGGAAGAATTAATCAATCAATCAAATGTATATGTGTTTTTTATTATTTAATTATTATGTATATTAAATGCTTCCCAACATGTGTGTGCTGTGTAAAGTTTGAACTGTACTTGTGAGGTCCAAAATGTCCTTACTATTCAAAAATGTCCTTACTAATATAGTGAAACCTGTTGAACACTG